GTGCCTGAAGGGGAAGGTTTAGACAGAGAAGGAGATGGAGGGATGAGGGAACCCTGCTGGGGACCAGACAGCAGCAACTCTTTTCCAAGCCAGATTCCACTCCATCTCTCCGTCCTAGGGGAGGAAAAATGAAAGACAAAAAAGACATTGAAGGATATGAATAAGGAGGGAAATGGCCCATGCTGACTTTTCTCACCTTTTTGGAAAGTTCCTGAAAGACGCACCATTGCGACTGCCTCTCTTGTATCTGCCAGCAGCTGCTGAAAGGGACCCCCCCTACTCCCAGGGAGGATGAACATGCCAGAAGGAGAAATGGATCCCATGACCTGCCCCTATGGGATGGTCAGACTGGGAATGGGCAGATTATGCTAGGTTTTGACACATGTAGGCACTGTCACACCCTTAATGGGATGAATTAAAAGGGAGTAATTTTATGCAAAGGCCTGTGGTCCAGAAGTATCTCTCGATTAGTCTGAAAAGTCAACATCTGGAGATTTGCTTGGATTATCTGAGACAATATCCCTGGAACATTAAAGCTGGAGATCGTCTGACATTTCAATCTTGGTGTAAATTCATTTTAACCATCTCCCTGTCTCCCCCTATACCCTAGCTGCAGGGAGGAGATGGTGTTTTGAGCACACAGACTGGGAAACTGGTATTCTCCTCTTAAACTGTGGACACAGCAGGAAGGCCAGTATAGAGAAACCCTAGAGCCCGGCTCTGGGTCAGCCAGACCTGAAATTTGAGGGGGCTCAAGGGAGGGAAGAGATTTCTTGAGATTCATGAATGCAAAACTGGGCTCTGCGAGGACAGTGTCCTTGAAAACATTGAGGGAAATTCCAGGGTTCCCAAATCACTTTCTTAGCACTCGCATTCAGAATTCATACTCATATATTTTTTTCTTTTTTATTGCAATTCTTCAAATAAGAGAAATACACTCCCTTGCCTACCTGATTTACAGAACGGTGACATCCATAGACGAGATGTGCCTGGCTCATATATCCTCACTAAGCCCAGGCCAAGGCATGCCTTCATGAAGCAGGGTCCCTTAATTATGTCACTGTCGCTATTAGAAAGAAATAGTGGACAATATATAGGCGTCATAATGTAAGATAATTTTTTTTTCTAGAACTGACTATATTCACACAAAGCTACCAGTCACGTTGGCATTGCCACTTTCTCCACCTCTCGAACAAAGTTTGAGAAAGCATCTTTCCATTTTCACTTTTGCCAACTGTGTACTTCATCACTCCCTGTACATCACCTTCCTTCTCAAGAGATTTGTTATTCTGGTATAGTTTGGTACTTCTTGAGGAAACGTAGATCCTAATGTCATGCTGGCCAGTTTCACATCCCAGCTCTACCAGTTATTAATTATCTGCCTGAGTGACCTGACCTGAGTTATTCAACCCCATGAAATCACAGTTTCTTCCTTCCTAAAATAGGGATATTGAGAAGAATCCCAAAATTCTCAGTGTTACTAATGGTGATTAAATTGTATTTAAAGCATTTACCACAAACCAGGCACTCAATACAAAGTCAATTCCATTAAAATTACAGGCAAACATTAAATGGTTTGGAGTTAAAAGAATATCACTTTCTCACATAACAGCAATCATCTATATGTGTGTCCATATTTTAGAGGCAATAAATGCTCCCAGCCACCCCTGTACCATTTTGTCTTATTTGCTTCTGTAATATTTAAGTTCAGTTTCACTTGTATTTGGAGACCCCCTGCTGAGTTTCAGGGCAATGTTCATGAGAGTGGATCTTAAGCACCCCCAACAGCTTGTCATGACTCTGATGGGTCTGTCGAGCAGAGAGAAAAAGATGTGAAATCAAGACCTTAGGTTGATGCAAAAGAAAAGAGTGGTCCAGAGACTAAAGAACACTGTGAGTTCTGTATGCCTTTACCCATCACCATGACAGTAATTATCCCTCACTGTAGCAATCAAGTTTGTGACAGCCTTTTCAGTCATTGTTTTTTCAGTTTGAAACCTCAGTAATGATAATTCCTAAAATTGCTCATGCTTTAAGTTTCCATTGTTTTGTCAGTTTAATCCTTTCTTTGATAATTTAATCTATGTTATATATAAATTATTATAAATTTAACGTAACTGTGACTTTCCTCTGCTTAACTGTTTGTTGACTGTAGTAAGCACTGAGAATGTTCTAGAATAATTTTTTAAATTTTATTTTAATTACTTTTAGTACACATTCTAGGTATTCATTGTAAACATTGTAATCTTAACACACCATAAGTAAGATGTATTTTTTTTTAATTAACTTATTTATTTGAGAGAGAGAGTTGGTGGAGGGGAAAGGGCAGAGGAAGAGGGAGAGAATCCTCAAGCAGACTCCCCACTGAGCATGGAGCTCAACTTGAAGCTCAGTCCCAGGACCCTGAGATCATGACCTGAACAGAAACCAAGAGTCGGCCACTTAATCAACTGAGCCACCCAGGTGCCCCCCCCTTCTTTTTTTTAAGTAAGCTTTTCACTCAACCTGGGCCTTGAGCTTGTGACCTGAGATCAGGAGTCATATGCTCTGCCTGCTGAGGCAGCTGGGCACCCCATGAATCATTTATTCTTGAAATGTCAGTCTCTTGCATAGATAATTGAGGATGCTGATATAAAAATACATGTTTGGGAGGGTGAAATATAATTACATTCTATGTTGGTGGTACATATTTTTGAATTGAATATTGAAAAGCATTTCTTGGGGCTCCTAGGTGGCTCTGTGGGTTAAAGCCTCTGCCTTCAGTTCAGGTCATGATCCCAGGGCCTGGGATCAAGTCCCGAGTCGGGCTCTCTGCTCAGCAGGGAGCCTGCTTCCCTCTCTCTCTCCGCCTTCTGCTCTGCCTGCTTGTGATCTCTCTCTCTCTCTCTCTGTCAAATAAATAAATAAAATCTTTAAAAAATAAAAATAAAAAAATTACAATTCCCATGTGCAGGAGAGAAGAGATTCATAATAACTTAGGCTGTGTCTGTGTAACCCCACATCAAAGGACAATGAATTTTTAGGTAACCCCATTTTAATGTCGCTTATTTAATGGATTCCAACTGGTTTCTATTTTTTTATTTTTTCAAGATTTTATTTTTATTTATTTATTTTAGAGAGAGAGAGAGACAAAGATAGCAACAAAGAGCATGAGTGAGAAGAGTGAGCACGAGCGGGGAGGAGAGGAAGAAACAGGCTCCCCACCGAGCAGGGAGCCCAATGTGGGGCTCTATCCCAGGACCCTGGGATCATGACCTGAGCCAAAGACAAATGCTTAACTGACTGAGCCACCCATGCAACCCCCCCTAACTTGTTTTTAAATGCAGTCAAAACAACTCACATGTCACACTCAGCCTTCATTTTTTTATTATTTAAAGCTTCATTGCAGCAATCAAGCGATGTCGATTAGAACTGGTACAAACCTATCCAGTGGGTCTGGCTCCCATATTAGATATTGCACATGTAAACCAGGTGAGAAGGGCCTCGGAGGACAGTCTACACGGGCTATCCAGTTAGATGTGAGAAACGCAGATGCACTCAGAATCACAGGAGACATCTGAGAGATGTAAAAATATGTGTGTCGGTTTGTTTGCTTGTTTTCCTAGCCAGTTGGCCTGTTGGCTCACAAATAATATGTCCAACTCTGTGTTTTCTTCCAGGGTCTTTCTTCCCTGATTTCAAGCCCTCGGAAACCGTTTTTAAAATAGCATTTTGGCTCGGATACCTAAACAGCTGCATCAACCCCATTATATACCCGTGCTCCAGTCAGGAGTTTAAAAAGGCCTTCCAGAATGTCTTGAGAATCCAATGTCTCCGCCGAAAGCAGTCTTCGAAACACACCCTGGGCTATACCCTGCACCCACCCAGCCACGCCCTCGAGGGGCAACACAAGGACCTGGTTCGCATCCCAGTGGGATCTGGAGAGACCTTCTATAAGATCTCCAAGACGGATGGGGTCTGTGAATGGAAATTTTTCTCTTCGATGCCCCGTGAATCTGCCAGGATTACAGTGTCCAAAGACCAGTCAGCCTGCACCACAGCCCGGGTGAGAAGTAAAAGCTTTCTGCAGGTGTGCTGCTGTGCGGGGCCCTCCACCCACAACGGTGGAGAGACCCACCAAGTTCCAACCATTAAGATCCACACCGTCTCCCTCAGTGAAAATGGGGAGGAAGTCTAGAGGACAGGAAAGGTCAGAAAAGAGGAAGGGGTTGTGGGGGGAGGGGATGATCTCAGGCACACACCCCACTTCCTACTTGGAAGTCCAGTTCACTCTTCTTGGATGAGGAGACAGGACCAGGAAACTGGGGACCAGCTGGGAATGGAGTGGGGGAAGAGACCCGACTCTGGGGCAGGGGATAGGGCTCAGGGAAGGAGGAGGATGTCACACGACCATCCGGCTCCAAATGACGATAAACAGCATTTCCTTGAGGCTAGTGCTCTCGCGGTCATCCTCCGAGGCCGCTTTCCACGTCTGGCCCTCGCAACGAAAAACACCATGGGAAACAGAATGTCATACACAATCCAAAAGACTATAAATATAAGGTTATGATTTCATCATGAATATTTTGAGCACACACTCTAAGTTTGGAGCTATTTCTTGATGGAGTGAGGGGATTTTATTTTCAGGCTAAACTTAATGACAACCATGGTGGATATTTATGAGGAGAGGGCCTGGAGAGGAAGAGCCTTAAGACGGTGGCCACTATCCAGGCACGTTATTTTTAGAGCACGTTTTAAACTCCACCATTTCTGACCATATCCAGTTTCTTCACTTGGGTGCAACTCGACAATGAGATCTACCTTTTGCTGCAATTTCACTGGCTACTGCTCCCGAGTCCCTAAAGAGGAGGGTGAGGGGTGCTTGTGAAGCCTCGGGACTAGCGGAGGCACATTGGTTATGCTTAGGTCTAGACGGTTGGGGGAAAAAGATGGCTTTTCCTGATGGGAGATGCTAGAGGTGAAGGTCAGTGTTTTCAACTTTACTTCTACAGAAAAAAAAATTCCTGTAAGCGGCTCCAAGATCAAATCGATGAAGGCTTCTTGTGAAACATATTTAAAGATCAAGGGTTTGGGGCAGGTGTTAATTTCATGCTAAGAGGCTGCAGACTTCGGGCACAGCCGCTTCGATGTGGCCTAGAAAGGCTTTTCTTGGCAAATCGCTTACCTTTTCTAGAACACCGTTATGAAAATCCAGAGCTTATCATATTTTGGAAGGCGCATCTAGACTTCCGTTTTTCCTCCACGGCTTCGCTACTGCATGAGGAATGAGGTTCAAGGTCCCGAATGCACAGGTAGCCAATGGCGGAACGAGCCTTAGGATCCAGGTGTATCCTTCCGGAACTCGGAAAGATACACAAGCTTAGCTTGGGAGGATACTGACTGGTCACCACAAAACCATCTAAAGCCGGAATTTGCGAATAGTTTTCCACAGAAGCCCATGTATTCTGGTGAAAGATCCAGGAGCCCATTCACTTCATCTGTTCCCACTTTCTGTGGGAACTTGGGGAACGTGCTACTTTTGCTTTCTGTATAGCAAATTCTGGTCAACCTTAAAATATAACTCCATATATGACTAAAGAGGAGGAGGATTATCTGTAAAAAATGAAAATATTTTTCATATTCTGCAATAAGAATTTAAAATAAGATTTGTGGTTTGGGCATAATTCCTGGCCAGAATCACTGGTCTAAACCTAATGACTGACCATTTCTCTAGCCTCTTCCCCCTGTTTGAGTAATTTCCTATAAGAATTTTAAAGTAGATCGCAGCCCCTATTTAACTTTCACAGCCAAGGTTAGGGGCCCATTATCTTGTCTTCTTCCCATGCAGCAAAATGAAAATTTCTGCAAGTGCTTCTTGAAGGCTAATATCTTTTTGCACACTGCTTTGGGGGTGGGAAGGGGGGTTGTTTGCATGTGAATTTGAGGCTGTTGTTGGTCCTGCTTGGCCATTGAATATTTTCCTTTTTCAGCCCTTTCTGGAGAATGTCCTCTCACTGACCAGACAGGCGCTGTGACTTGTGCTTATAACTTTGATTCTGGCATTAGATATTGGCTGGGTTTTTGGACTCTTCTACTCTGTCTGCATGTCCCAGAACAGCTCTACGAGATGTGGGTGTCCTATTATGGACGTAAGCATCCGGGAAGGACTCTCTTGTCTTCTGCCTTGAGAAGAAAGATAAGTTTCATTATGGAGAAGAGTTTCTTTCAGGATCTGAATTTTAATAACCCCTTTTGTCAGCCTTCCCTTTACAGGAAGGGCATCCCCGTGAAAAGAATGGTAATAGTTTTGCTTCCATAGAATATGGCTCCCTTGAAACACATTCCCAGACAAATTTAAATTCTAGATTTTAGAAAGTTAAGGATTACCAAAAAGCTAGGATTGATGCCACTTCTAATCAAAACAAACAACTAAAAATCTTTTGGTCATCAGATAAAAGCCATGACAATTTTATTCACGTAAGACTGTCCGTAAATAATTATCTGCTATACTATTCACCAACCCCACTCCCTCCAGGGAGGCAAACTTTAACATTTATTTCCTTTCCCATAATGTGATATTAGGTACAAACACGCCAATTTTTGCAAGAAATTGATAATATCACCCAAGACTTCGTCAAAGTGGGATAAACAATACTTGAGCTATTTTTTACTCATCCACAAAAATCTCTGTACCTTTGAGCATGCCAAAAACTCTCTAAAATTGTCACAGTTAAACAAATGATTGTCATATTTATACTCACATGTTTACTGCTTCTATTTGGAGTTTGAAGAATTTACCCAGAGCAACAGTGGTCCAAATGTTTTCTCTAATGTGTTATAAAAAGCAGTTGCTTTGAGACTGTCGAAACATCGCAAAAAAAAAAAAAAAAAAATCAACTTGACGTTGTGGGATAGGCAAAACTTGAGTTTCTTCTGCAGTTCGAATTGCACGCATTCAGAGAGACCTTGAAGGGCTCTACTTAAACATTGCCCCAAGCTACTGCCAGGATTTCAGGAAAGTGTTTTGCTTGTCGCTTGTCTTTCACTTGACTTTACTCCTGTCTTGTCCAAAACTGTTCTGCCTGTCACCACTTGGTGTACGCCAACACTCTCTAAAACATGAAGGCTTCAGACTCTCACTGCTTACCTGGGTTTGTCCAGCCATGGTGGACAAGTGATATTTGGTTAAATAAATCCATTTGGAAGGCTTTTGGTTAGGTTCTTCTGTGTGCATCGGCAGGGCGTTTTATACCCTATTAGCTCTAAGTCTCATAGCAATTACACATTTCTCTCTCAAAGGTAAAAATCTAATAGTTGGAGGACTCGCCCTAGGCCAGTGAGGAATCATGATTCAGTCCTGGATTTGCCTAATACTAAAGTCTACACATTTTTCCCAGTTCCTCTGCTTCCTTAATAGATGGGGGGGTGGGGAGGGGAGGATGTTCCCCAGTTTGAACTGGAGATGCTGAGGACAGGAAGCCATACAACATTTTAACATTTTGTTTCTTGGGGATTTGCCATCCAGTCAACCTCCGTACATAAACGCTGCCTAACTCCAGCCCAACCAAATCCCCAAAACAGATGATGATCAGAAGGGTTTGGTGCCTGCAGTTCTATGTTTCAGACTGCACCATTTTGTAGAGGATAATGACATGGAAAGTTATTCAGGCCTTGCAAGAAAGACAAATTCTATCAAACTGGGAGCAGATGGGCATACAAGAGAATGCAGAAGAGGCTGCATTGGCCTAGAAATGCAAAATCCAGTTGTGGGTATGAAACACGTTGCATAGGATGTTCGGGTTACTGACTAACCAGTTAATTGGTGCATTTTCAGGAAGTATATCCCTTTTTAAAACAAAGAAGAATACAACATCACTCTCCCCTGTACTCCAACACTATTTTTTTTTTTTAATTTGAGTTAGAAAGAGAGAGAGAGAAAGAATTATAGACATTTCACCAGGAATTACACTGAGCCTAGAGAGCGTGTCAGACATGTGAATTTCATGTGTGTTCCCATAGAGGACTGGCTCACAAAATTGATCCCCGGGTAGCCAGAGATGTAGGCAATCTATAGAAATGAAGAACCAGTTGGCAACTCTGACTGTGGATTAGCTAGTGTCCTCTTGTTCTTGGATTTCTTTTTTGCAAATGAGAGCTTTATGCCCTGAGTATCTCAGATTGCCTTAGCCCCTCAAAGTCATGCAGACCTTCTGGCCCCGTGGGTCCCATGGTCAAGGCCTGGGAGAGAGCAGGTTTTAGGAACTCATTGCTCAGGCAGGTAATATTTCATTCTTTAATCACGGCTACTCAATCAGAGCTTGACAAACATTCTCATTTGCTTCTGGGGTTGGTTCTGCACAGGTCCTCTTGCCAAAAGGGATGCTGCCTCTGCGTATGAGTACTTGTTGACTTAATTAAGGAAAGAGCTCTGCTCGTCAGCAAAGGGAGAAGGGAGCCCAAGCCCGTGGAAGGTAAAATCCGCAAGCAAAAATAGGGTGACCAAAAAGAAGGCAATGGTGGCCAGTAGGAAGGCATCAGAGGTGTGCTCACTGTTACTCTGATTTCTTTTTATACTACTAGGACTTTTAACCCTGAAACCACCTGCACACGGCTCCTGTCCAGCCTGGTCGGAACACTGTTGGCACCTGCTCCTTGTCTACACACTATGCCGGGGAGCAGGGCTGAGCCCAGGCTGCTGTGGGGTCCACCGTCTTCAAAAAGCAATGACAGCGTGGCCTCCTGGGCCTTCAAAGTCCCCACAGGATGAGTGAGTGGAGATGACTTTGGGGACAGGGCTGACAAAAGCAGACTAGGATCTCGACAGAGGACACCAGGCCCCTTGCCACTGTTCCCATCAGCATGGCCTCCCTCATGCCCCTCACCCCAGACCCAGATGACGGTGGAGCTCATCTGCTCTGTGCAAGAAAATATCATTTCTTCCGTGCTACCCCAACATGGATTCCTGAGTCTCCCACCTAAAAGGAAGGTTATGGCAGTTTATGGCAGTGGGCAGGGGGCAGGGGGCGGTGTTGAGGAGGAAGGGGAAAGCTTACCCTGGACAGCGCTCAAAGCCGGATGCGTGATTTCCTAACACTGGGCTGCCACTGATAAGCAAGGAAATGCCTGAAGCCGCTCGCTTCTTCATTTCCAAACACAAAATGATTGTCTTTCCTTTCCGTGGGGCCCAGGAGTCATTACAGCACTGTCCTCTATATTACAGGCAACAGAGCACCTTAGTTAGAAGCTGGAAATGATTAGAGCTAAACTATGAAAAATACAGACTTAATTAGGGGAGAAAAAAAATCTAAGAGCAAAGTCTTACTGTATTTGTAGAAAAAAAATAAGGCGCCAACCTATTAAGAAGCCCGAGTACAAAAAGTACATTCAGATGCAGTAGAAAGGAAGCTAAGACAGGATGTCCCAACATGAGCTTAGAATGTCCTCCCATTTACAGAACACTTTGTACTTGCCCAAGTAATTTCGCCTAACTCAAGCCGTCCCTGTGAGGGACAAAGCTAAGGAAGGACGTGCCATCGATTCTTAACATCTGAAGAAACAAGGGGATGTAGAGACTTAAGGAGGATGCTTCAGATCGCCCCAAATCCAGCCTCTGACTCCGTTTTACGTGACATCTGTGGTATCCCCAGGGTCCACTGTTTCTTGAAACCATGAATTTCATATGTCACTCGTTCATCTCTGATCCCTATTTTCAGCTCCATTGGCACCTTCTCTCCTATTATATCCCTTACCGCGGCAGGGCAATATAAGATTGTTCGGAGTGCATATTTGCCTGTGCTTTTCTCATTGGCTAAAGAACTAGCAGATGTGATTCTGTTCTTTCTCCCTAGTTAGGCAGCATCAGAGCTAAAGAAGTAAGCAGGGCCACGGGCTCTTGGCTTGATCAACAGGGTGAGAGGACAGGCAAAGCCAGAAGTGGTGAACACATTAAGGACCTTGGGATTGCAAAGGTTGCAAAGGAAGTTTGGGAGGTTCCTCTTCCCGTGAGCCCCTTCATCATTGT